AAAAAAAACAAAGAAAGCAAAGTACAATTGTTTTTTTGAAACAGTGTTTCATTATTGTACTCCAGGCTGCTTTGGAACTTGCAGGGGTTCTTCTGCCTCAACCTGGTAAATGCTGGGATTAAGCCTGAGAGAGGAACAAATTAATACAGACAAATCCAAATGTGGGACTGGACTATTCTTCCAGACATTTGATGACAAGAAAACACAAAAAGAGACAGGACACAGGGGTAGTGGTGGTAGTAATGGTTTTCCAGAATAAAAAGTACTATGTAATTTCTTCACTACAACCAAATTAACATGTGAACCTTCACTGAATCCTGATTTTGAAGAAAGGAAAGCAACTAAAAGATATTTCTGGAGGGCTATGAGATAGCTCAGCAGACTACGTGCCTGCTTTGGCAAGTGCAGGGACCAGGGTTTGAGCCCCCATCTTGCAGGCCATGCCGGTGCCATCCCCCTGAGTGGGCTGAGCTGTCAATTGAGTCTGGGTGTGGTGGCTCACACCTGTAACCCCAGGGCTGGGGGAGGCTGAAAACAGGAGGATCACTAGAGTCTGAACTGCCTAGTGAGATCCTGTACCAAATACATAAAATTTAAAAAAAAAAAATTCTGAAGGGCTGAGGCTGTAGCTCAGTGACAGAGTGATTACCTAGCATGCACAAAGCCCTGAGTTCAATTCCTAGTACCACTTTAAAAAAAAAAAAAAAGAAAGATATATTTCTGAGCTACACAGGAGTAGGTTCAAGTGGGAAGATCACATGAACTTAGTTGTTTGAGGCCAGCAATAGATACTATTGGGGCAATTGATATTCTAGGAGAAATCCAACTATGCACTGGATTTAAATGATTAAAGATGAGTTTAATTCTCTGATATGTGAAATAGTGTTGAGGTTTGTAAGTTATTTATTTATTGTGCTGAGGATCAAGCCCAAGACATTGATACTGGGTCACCACATCCTAGTCCTTTTTTTATTTTTTTGAAGCAGAGTCACACTAAGTCATTAAATTGTCCAGGCTGGGATTAAATTTGTGATCCTACTGTTTCAGCCTCCCAGAATGTTGTTATTGTAAGCATGTGCCACCACACGGGGTTATTCTTAAGAGATATCTTGATTAGGGATGTAGCTCACTTGCTTAGCATGCATAAGATCCAGCAGCACTAGAGACAGACAGACAGAGAAAATTCCAAGTGGAGGCAGGAATATTTAAAGTTGGAGCCCAGATAGGCAGCTTTAAAAAATTAATAATAGGCTGAATGTACAGGGCAGTGTGAAGGCCCTAGATTCAGTGGTGTGTGTGTCCTAATTACTATTATTATTATTATCAGTTTGGGTTTTTGAGACTGGGTCTCCCTGTGCAGTTCAGGCTGACCTTGAGCTCATTTTGCAGTCCAGGCCCATCTCGAACTCACAGCGATCCCCCTGCCTCAGCCTCCCGAGTGCTGAGACTATAGATGCGCATCACCATGCCCAGTTTGTGTATTAATTTGAACTATAGTCCCACTAGGCAAATCCACATAATCTCAGAGTCTCCAAGTGACTCCTGGAAGTCACTTGGTTAACACTTATTGGGCTTCCACCTTGGGAGAGTGCCCTTGTGGGTGGTAGGTGTGCAGCACTAGATAGACCTCATACCCTCTTGTATCTGGGGAAGGGGAGGAGGGGGAAAATATGAGAACTAATGTATTCATTGACCTGCAAACATTCACAGGAAACCCGCTGTGTGTTTAGGGAGCTTGTTTGGAGGTTCTAGCCTATATGGGAGCACAGATATACCCTTGACCAAGGAAAGCGTCCCTCTGCACCCAGGGCTGGCCCTCCTCCTCCGCAGAGCAAGTGCATTGTGAGGAGGGGACACTGCCTAGCCAGCCAGCTCAGCAGAATCACCCCTGATGATCAGCGGTATGCAGCCCATATACTCTTGGGGCACTGAAGATATGGTAGTGAGACTATAGGTAAAAACCCTTTGCCGGGCATACTATCACGTGCCTGGAATCCCAGCATTTGGGAAGCTGAGGCAGGTGGATTATCTCGAGTTCAAGGTAAACCTCAGCTACATAGCAAGACTGTTTCGTTTTTGTTTTTGTTTTTTTGTGGAACAGGGGATTGAACTCAGGCCCTTGCGCTTGCCAGGCAAGCACTTATTCTACTGAACTATCTCCCTGGCCCCAAGACTATGTCTTTAAAAAAACAAATAGAAAACATTCCAACAAAAAAAAAAAAAAAAAAAAAAAAAATCTATGCTGGGAGGAAATAGGCAATAATTTAAGGAAACTGCATCGTATTCTAGGAGCTGAACAAAGAACAAGAACAAGGGAGAGCGGGAGGGGAGTACTAAAAAGATGCACAGTTGTGGGGATGGGAAGGGGTTCTCTGAAAAGCTGACATCTGAGCAGAGGCCTGAATGGGGAGGAGTAGCAAAACTGGAGGAAGAGTGTTGGCAAGGGGGCAGTGCGAAGGCTGGAGGTGCGAGCGCCTGGCGAGCAGGCCGGAGACCGTCTCGGGCCTTCTAGACCTTTTTGTGGCGTTTCTCCCTCCAAGCGAGAGAAGATGAAGAAAGGAAAATGTCAAGTTGTGCTTCTGTTCAGTGACTTGAAGAGAAGTCAGGCAGGATGATGGGCGTGGGGAGAGGAGTCTGGGGGGTGGTCTCCGAGAGGCTCTCCGTGGCGGTGACACTGGAGCCCAGACCAGAAAGTCTGGAGAAGGAGCCAGGAATTGAAAGGCGCGGGGTGCGGGGTGAGGAGCAGAGGCCGGGCCTCGGGAAATGAAACCAGAAGCGAAGCCACCGGGCCGGGGCGGGCGCCTCCGCCGGCCGGGGAGGAAGGGCGGTCGGGGCAGCGTCCCGCCCCGTCCCGCCCCGCCTGGCCCCTGGGGAGGGAGGAGGCGCCAGGCCGGCTCCAGGCCGCCGCCACCGCCGCTGACTCCCGCCGAGGGTGGCCGGCCGCCCGGCCGGGGTGGGCAGGTGGGCAGGGGGCGGGGCCGGCCTCCCGTCGCGCCCGAGCCCGCGCCCATCCCCCACGGGGCGGGCTGGGGACCGTGGACTCTGCCCCGAGGACCTCGGGTGCCTCTGCAGGGCCGGGCTTTTACTTGTTTAACAGGTGCGACGTTAGGAAAGGAGCTGTAAAATGGGGGTGCCCCTCTTAGAACTGGCCTCACGGGGAGGAGGGTACTAACAAGCTCTCAGAGAGGAGAGTCCCCTTCTCTGGGTTATTTTAGGGAAGTCAGAGAATTCTAAGAAAAGGGTGAGTCAGGTCACATCCCTCCTCTGCAGAACACCCGCCCTCCCTCCCTCTCTCCCGAGTGGCTTCCGGCTCCCTCAGGGCAAAACTAAAGCTGTTCAGTAGGACCCCTCTAGACCCTGCAGGATGCACCCGTTGCCTCCCCATCCTCATCTCCAGGTATCCGCCCGCAAACTTGCTCTTTCCGTACCAGCTACACTGGGCTCCTCAGGGCCTTTGCACTAGCTGTTTGCTCTGCCTGGCTTGTTCCCAAGAGATCCACAGGGCTCTCTCCCTGATGTCACCTTCCCTGAGAGGCTTTCTCTGCTGTCCCTTCTAAATAGCAAAGCCCCCCTGCTTTATTTTTCTCCAATCATTTATCACCGCCTGACTATACATTTCAACTTCTTTGTGTGTTTATTTCAGTTTTCCCTCATAATTATACTTCAAGAAAACAAGGCTTGTTGCTTTGGTTCTGTTCTGTGGGGACAGGGTCTCACTATGCAGTTCAGGCTGGCCTTGAACTCATCATGACGATCCTCCAACCTCAACCTCCCAAGTGCTGGGATGACAGGCCTGTGCCACCACACCCAGCTATAGCAAATACTTTTTGAGCACCTACCTGTGCCCAGTACCTTTCTAGGCATGCGGGCAGAGCACATCACCACCCCTCCTTTCCTTAAACAGCCAAGAAATAATTTGACATTGAATGGGGGCGGCTAAGAAAATCACACAGGATGTAAAGGAGTTGTGGTGCCTCAGGACATGTTGAACTAGGAAAGGCAAGGGACACTGGATTGAAACTAGAAGGGAAATGGCCTCTGGGAAGACGGCAAGTGAAAAGGGCTTAGAGTGGAAGTGTGCTGATTCCTAGGAGCCCAGCATGGCTAGCATTGCAGAGAGAAGAGGAGCCTGAACTAAGGAAGTAAGTCAGGCTTTGGTGCAGCTGGAATTGCTTTTTATCTTTCTGAGACAGGGTGTCGCTATGTAGTTCACGCTGGCCTTGAGCTCACTTTGGAGCCTAGGCTGATCTCCAGCTCTCCATGATACTCCTGCCTCAGGCTTCCAAGTGCTGACAGGCATGCACTGTCTTGCCTGGCTTGGAATTGTTCATTTTTTTTTAAATTTTTGTTTTTTAATGTATTTGGTTGCTATAGGGCTCACCACACAGCTCAGATTCACTGATCCTCCTGTTTTCAGCCTCCCTAGTGCTGGCATTACAGGTGTATACCACTACACCCCTGGACTCTGTGGCCAGCTCAGCCCGCTCTGGGGACGTGTGGTGCTGGGGATCGAAGTTTGTGTAGGCAGGTGATTTATTTAGTTCTCTGAGCTATCTCCCCAGCCCCTTGTTCTTTTTTCTTTTTTTTGTATTTAGGATAGGGTGTACAGGGTCTCATGTGTAGATTGGACTGGTAGTGATCTTCCTGTTTACAGCTTCCCAAGTGCTGGGATTACAGGTGCACACCACCACACCCAGTCTCAATCACCATCTCAGTGTGCCCTAGGTGTGGGGCCGGCATGTGGCATGGTAGGTTCCAGGATCCAACTCCTGGCCCGTGTCTGCCTAAGGAGGCGGTTTTGCCCTGCCCTCCTTGTTCTTTTTTTTTTTTTTTTTTTTTTGCGGAACCAGGTATTGAACTCAGGCCCTTGTGGTTGTCAGGGAAGCATTTATTCCACTGAGCCATCTCCCTGGCCCAAATTTTGCATCTTAGTGATGCCCTTGTTCAGTTTTTGAAGTTGGATCTTGCTACGTAGTTTAGGCTTACCTCAATCTAATGGTGATCTTCCTGCCTCAGCTTCCCAGTGCTGGGATTACAGGTATGTGCCACCACACCTGGCTTGTAGTTGGGAGTTTTATAGCAGGGGAAGAAATTGCTGGCAGGGCCAGTGCGTTCACATTCATGAGGTCCACTGCTGTAGGATGTACTTTTCCTACTTGGCCAAATTTGCTGAACAGAGCCTTTTTCCTTTCCTACCTCTAATAAAACTTTGTTACAGTAAAGAAATAAAAGAAGATGTGATCCAAATGACATCCACCTTGGAATGCAAACCTTAATGTGCTTTTTTCCCTCACTATTGGGGATTGAACTCAGAGCCTTTGCAAAGCTAAATTTCCACCTCCTCCCTTTTTGAGATAGTGTTTTACTAAGCTTGAATTTGTAACTTTGCTTCACATCTCACAGTGCTGGGATTTTAAGACTGCCCCACCATACTGGGCTTCAGAGAACTCTTCTTTTTCTGTTGAGACTGTGTCTTTTTTTTTTTTTTTTTTTGCAGAACTGGGGATTGAACGCAGACCCTTGTGCTTGCCAGGGAAGCGCTTATTCCACTGAGCCATCTCCTCGGCCCCAAAACTGTGTCCTTTTTTTGGCATAACCGGAAATTGAATTTAGGCTTTGTGCTTGCCAGGCAAGCCCTTGTTCTACCGAGCTATCTCTATCTGGTTCAGGTTGGCTTTAAAGTCACCATAGCTGAGGCTGGCCTCAAATGGAAGCAGTCCTCCTGCCTTAGCCATTCAAGAGCTGGGATTACAGCCATGTGCCCCCATATCTAGTAGACAGGACTCTTAACCATTCTCTGTCATATAGTGTTTGCACCTGTCCCACCTTCAGCAGGGAAAAGGTGCAGATGTTTAGAAAACTTACCAGGTCCCTCCCACCACTCCAGTGAACATTAGCAACTTAGTACAATATCACTCCTTCCAAAATACTTTTATTTAGAAAAACTTACAAACAAAGCCACCACAAACCCTGCCTTTCCTTTAAATAATGCGGCATGGAGCAGTTTGGTTTCCACTCTATTGCACGTGGTCCGGCCTGGTTATGAATCAGGAGGCTGCTGGGACTGGGGTCCTGCCAAGAAACTGGGGTTCAGCTCTGTAGAGGAGACCCGCCCCTCCCATTCCCTCAAGAGACAAGAGCCTGGGTTTCCAGAGCAACTTGGCAGCACACCCACCTGTCAACCTCTGACAGGCCCAGCTCCACCTTCCCTGAAGCCCCAGGGGTCACAAGGGTAGTGGGAACTGGAGGGAAAAGGCAGAAGAAATGTGTGAGAACTCAGACTCCCAGAAACGGAGCCCCTTTAAGGCATTTGGAACAGATAAATTAAATCAGGAAGATCCACCTTCACAGAAGGCTAGGGTAACCAGACATACACATGCAAGACAAGTTTGTGGAACCCTGAAATGGGAGGAAATGAGGCCAATGACTGTTTAGAGCCCCTAATACATACACATACTCTCTGTCTCTGACTCCACCCATCCAGGGATCTAGCCCATCATGGCTAATGTGAGGAAGGCTCCTCCCCATTACATTTAGGACCCTAGAATGATTTCCATAATGTGATCGAGTTCATTCCACTCCCAGGACCCAGGGGCACAGAAGACGCTGTGTGGAGGTTCTAGGGGGGCCAGTGCAGGCTCCTTTTCCACTGCAGAGGTGTCAATGTCCAGAAAGAAGTCATCCAGGCTAGAGTCCCCCAGGTACCGAGAGCTCAGTGTTTCTAAGAAGACTGGATCAGGCTGGGGCAGCACTTCATTTTGGAAGCCTGGGGAAGCCATTGGATTTTGAGGTGGTTCTGTCTCATCCATGGAGGTCTCCAGCTCCCTGAGGATGGAGCCAATGGTGGCAGACAGGGAGAAATCCTCTTCACCCAAGAAGAGGGGCTCGGGAGGCAGGGCAGGTGCTGGAGCCATGCGTATGGAGGCCTGGAGCTGCTGCAGGGTATTGTGGATGAGGACGTGCCGGCGGAGGCTGGGCGCTCGGGGACCCAGGCTGCGCTGCTGGACTTTGTCCAGGGAGATACGGAGCAGGGCTTGCTGGTAGCTCCGAAGGCCTGCTGGACTCCAGTCCCACTTTCTATCTTCCTCCTCCTCCTCCTCTTCCAAATCGGAATGTTTCCTCTTCAAGCCACCTACCATGATGCCCTAAGGAGAGAAGAGGGGGAAGGGGGACACAGGGCAATTCATATCTCATTTTCTTAGGCAAGACTGCATACCTATAGGTGATTTTTAACTACAAGAACTTCTGTTTATTCATCTGTAGAAAATGCAGATAGTCTGAACCCTACAGGCTGAGGAGTTAAATACACGTGATCAAGATGTAGCTGGGGGTGGTGGTGGTGCACACCTATAATCTGAGGGCCTTGGGAGGCTGAGGTAGGAAGGTCACAAGTTCAAACCCAGCCTTGAAAACTCAGTAACTTGGCAATTCTGTCTCAAAATAAAAATAGAGGGGAGAGGTAAAGTGTGAAGCTCTGAGTTTGATCTTCAACACTGAAAAAACAAAAAGCAAACTGTAGAGTGACTAGCTGGGCTTTTAAAGCCTTTTTTTTTTTTTTTCCTTTTGTGGGCTCAAATAGTGAATTTACATCCATGAGGCTCAATCTCATTTGCAAAATAAGGATCCTAACTCACTCCAATCCCTCTGAGTCTTAAAACTTTCTTCTGTATTCATTTCTGCAAACACATTACACAAGAGACAAGTGTGAAGCAGAGACCTGGGCCAGAAGAAGGGATTTGTGTGCTGGAATTCGGCCCTGGACGCTGCTCGGCTGTGTTCTCTTAACCAGTGACATGATATCACCTATCTGGGCCTGTTTCCCTCAAATGTAAAACGGGGATTGCAAAAATACTTCGCACAGCATCCTAAGACGCCATGTCTAACGTGCACGGGGCACAGCACACAGCAAGTGCTTAATGAACACACGTTAACTGTCTTTTCAAGAGCTTTATTGATTGAGAGCCTAATATATTTGTACCACATGGCGCTGTTAAAGAGAATCTATTTGTGAGGCGTCCGGGCGCTTCTTTACAGGGAAGACTTTTCTTTTACTGAGAGGTTATGTCTGTCCATGCTGTCTTCCTTAACTGACTGGGAGAGCTCCCAAGAACAGAGCAGCCTTCCTCATTCCTTCCATCCAACCCTTCAGCCTTCCCCAAAAGGCGCCCCATAAGAAAACTTGCTAGAACTCAACTACCGCCAAGCTCCGCCCTGCCCAACCACTCGCCCCGCCCTTCCCTAGGTTCTCCATTCCGCGTCCAGGAACGCCCCAATTTGGCCCTAGGGCTTCGGGGAAGTGTGGGCCTTGGGCCGAAAAATACACGCACCTACAACGAGCAGGCACTACAATCCCCAGAGGGCCCAGCTCGCCACCAAAGCACAACTCCCCGCCCTCCCTTAAGGCATGCGCACAAGGGGCCAAATGATGGGGGCAGGGACCCCGCCGTCCAGCTGCCGAGCGCCGCCCGCAAAGCCCCGCCCCCTGCTGCCTCCCCGGCAGCGATCTCAGCTCCACGCCCGGAATACCCCTCCCCCACCGGACTCCAGCCTTAAATCTGCTTTCTCCCGGTTCCCTAAAATCCCAAAAAAATCTGAGATTCTTCCCCAAATTGCCCTCGGGTCTACAGACCTAAACCCTCAAAGCTCAAACCTGACAAATGTTCTCCCAGCCTCCCCGACGGGGAGACAGTTGTCGGTATCGCTAATGAGGACCCCAACACACTCTAGCTCCTATTTTTCTTACTTCCAAACGCATTTGGACTTCACTTCCAAACTCTCCGTCTGGCTCCAAGGCCGAACACTAAACTCTCCCTGGCACTCTGCCGCGGCATCCTGGAGTGAAAGATTCCAGACTCTGCTCCTCTTGGTTTCTCCAAATGCTCGGGACCCACAATAGTGTGAACCCCCAAATTCAGGCCGGAGGAAAGACCCAAATTGTCTTAATTTTCCGATTCCCTGCCCTAAAAGTTCCTTTTCCAGCTTCTCCAAACACCCCGTGTCTCAGCTTCAAGCTCCTTCTACTTGATGCTTCTGCCTCTTCTCCCGCCCAGCACCTCGAACTCTACCTCCGGCGGGGACTCCGAACCATCCACCGTCACCCTTAATCTGTACCCTGAACTTCCTCCCAGACTCCGCCTCCGCCAATCTCGGGGCGCGCCTCCAACTCTTCCCCAACCACGGTAAATCCCCAGACAGGTGGCCACTCCTACCTTTGCGTCCAGGTTCGCAGCGACCACCTCCCGGAACGCCTGCAGCGTCCCACCAAGGCTGGGCAGGAACCTCGCTCACCTCCCCCTTGGCCTCTCGGTCTAGCTTCGGGCCACCTAGCTCCGCCCCGGAGCCGATCGGCGGGTCGCGATTGGCTGGAGTCCTGCCCGTTGCGGGGCGCCTATTGGCTGGGCGGAGCCACGGCCGGACGCCAGGCGCCCTGCGACTTGCCCTCTTCTTCCAGCGCCGAGAAGTATTTAAAGGACTGAGACTCATCGGGCGCCGGGGTACATCTCTAGGATGTAGAGTGGCGGGCGATTAGTACCACTTCCTTCAACTCAGATACACACCTTCCTCGAACTTCGTCAAGACTGCCTTCTGCGTCCCCTTTGTACCAGGATTGGACCTCGTCACGAAGCAAGACCTACTGCCTTGGCTTTTCTCCCCCAAGCCGCTCCCCGGGTGGGCGGGGCTAAGCCACTAAAGCAGGCTCCATCCCGGGGCTCCGAGAGTGACGTACCTGAAGGCTAACCAATTGCTTGGCGCGGCCTGTGTTGCCTGGGCGACCGTAGCACCGCCCTCCTCCCTCCAGAAGGCGTGGACCCTTAATCTTAAGAGACTAGTGGAGATGAGTTGGTGTGACCCACCTTGAGTCCCCAGACACCTCATGCTGACACTCTTAAGGAAGATTGCCTTTGTTCAAACTGCTTACTTTTGCTACAGACCCATTCACCATCTGTCCCGTCTCGCTGTACTTGCTTTCTGATCGATATTCAGCTTTTCTATTTCTTTATTGAGACGGGGTGTCTGTGTAGTTCTGGTTGGCTAGTAATTCACAGTGATGCGTAAACTGGCCTCACACTCTCAGTGATCCTCCTGCCTCAGCCTCCCAACTGCTGGAGTTTACAGTCTTGTCTCACCATACTGGCTCCATAGAGCATTTTAGAAAAACTGAAAATAGCTGGTCATGGTGAGGCACACCTGTAATCCCAACATTGAGAAGGCTGAGGCAGGAGGATCCCAGGGAGTTTGAGCCCAGCCTGGGCTACAAAGTGAGTTCAAGGTCAGCCTGAACTACAAAGGGAGAATCTGTCTCAAAAAATAAAATGAAAAACAGAAAAAGCCTCCACCCCTCCCAAAATTTTATGCTTTTTTTCAGGGTCTTATCGTCAGCATTTAAAACATGACCAGGTCCACAGCAAACACTCAGAACTGAGAATGAACCGCCTCTGGGTCTCACATTTGTTTCCTCGTCCCGAAAATGTTCTTCAATTCCTAGGGACTCTATTTCCAAGAATTTTTCTCCCAGAAATCCTTCCTGGGTTAGGGTCCATTCTAGCTCCTGTAGCTCTGGGGTTTGGGGCAGTCACTATCTGGTCTGTGAGTCCCCTGGGGCTCAGTACCCCATTTTTCGGCTCAGCATCTAGCATAGGGCTGGACACAGAATATACACTCTTTGAAAGTTAGTTAAATGTTTGATGTGGCAGAGAAATTGAGAGGGCCAAGATAAAACACTGCTGATGTGCACACCAGCAACGCCCAGCCTCAGCTCCTAACAGGCCTCAGGCCTTAAGGGGAGAAAGAAGGTGGCTTCTCCATCTATTTCTGGAAGAAGGAAGTTCCTGCGTGTGTGTGTGTGTGTGTGTGTGTGTGGGTGCTGGGATGGTACCAACAGCCTTGAACTTGCTAGGCAAGTAAGTGTTCTACCACTGAGCTATTCGCAGCCAAGGATGGAGAAGAAATCAGGAAGTTTCACCCTGGGCTTCTTCCTGGATACTTCTGTCCCCCTGTGCTCTCCAAAGTCCCTGTCATGGTCTGGCTCTCCCAGCTTCTCCCCCCCCCCCTTCAGCTTCCACTCTTGTCTCCCTCTGATTCCCCCTTTACTCAGTAATTGAAGGAAGCTTTATAAAACATTAACCTGAACCGGGTGTAGTGGCACAGTGCCTGGGATCTCAGAACCTGGGAGGCCAAGGGAGGAGGACTGAGTTTCAGACAAGCTTGGATTACAGAGTGAGACCCTGTCTCAAATCAGTAACAATGAAATGCTGGGCATGGTTTCACACACCTGTAATCTGCATGCACCTGTAATACACTCTGGGAGGCTGAGGCAGGAAGATAGCCTGGGAAATTTAACAAGATCCCATTTGATTATTTGGGGTTTTTCTGTTGTTGTTTTGAGATTTATTTTTATTATTTTTAAAAATGTATTTAGTACAGGGTTTACAGGGTCTCACTAAACAGATCTGACTTGTAGTGATCCTCCTGTTTTTCGTCCTCCCAACTACTGGGATTACAGGTGCCCACCACCACGCCCAGTCTCAATGGCAGTCTCAGCATGCGCTGGGGCGTGGCTGAGTATCAGTGCTTTAATCTGCTGAGCTATCTGGCAGGCCCTGGGATTTTTTTTCTTTTTTTAGACAGGGTCTCATTATGTAGTCTAGGCTGGCCTTGAACTCAGAGTGATCCTCTTGCACCCGGCAAGATCTCTTCTGAAAATAAAAATGGGTTGAGGAAATAGCTTAGCATCTGGGTTCAATACCTAGTACACCAAAAAGAAAGTGAAAAACCACACACACAACAAGCCACGTGCTTTCCAGCCTCCTTTTACCCATGTTGTTTCTTCTACCTAGAACACTATTTTGTCCTAGAACCTTCTCTTGGCTCATTCTTAAGAAGCCAAGTTTCAGGTTGAACATACGTCTTACTTCCACAGAGGCTTTAGGCGCCCCAGGCTGGGTCTGGCACCCTTTCTGGGCTACCATAGCCCTGCATGCTCTCCTCATCACAGCTCTGGCCACTCTGGGTTTTATTCTTTAAGAGTACCTCTCCCAGTTGACTGAGATGCAGGAAATCAGGAAAAGTGGGGCTCCTGGGCACCTTGGTGTTCTGGTTTGGATTTTTTTTTTTAATGTATTTGGTACAGGGTCTCACTACACAGATCGGACTTCTAGTGATCCTGTTTTCAGCCTCCCTAGCACTGGGATTACATGCTCTACCGTGCCAGGACTCCGTCACCAGCTCAGTGTGCCCAGGGGTGGGGTGTGTTGCCAGGGATAGAATCCCAGTTCCTGTACTTGCCTAGGCAGGCACTTAGTCCGCTGAGCTATCTCACCAGTTTTTTGGTTGTTTTTTTCATGGCATGGATTTGAAGTATTCCCCAAACTCAAGTGCTAAAGGCTCAGTTGCCAGCTAATGGACTACAGGGGAAGCAACTGGATCATGAAGGGCTCTAACTTCAACAAGTGGATTAGTTCACTGATGAGATCAGGATTTGATCCCCTTATGGGAGGTGACAGAAGTGGGGGCCTAGCTGAAGGGAATGGATCGTGGGTGTGTGACACTGGGAACTAGATCTGTGTCCCTCCCCTTCTCCCTAGCTTCCAACCAAGGTGGGAAACTTTCCTCTGTCACGTTTCTGCTTTGCCACCAACCTGGAAGCAATGAAGCCAGGTGACCATAGACAGAGTCCTCTGAAAGCATGACCCAGTATACACTGTTACCTCTCTAAGTTGTTTTTCTCAGGTATTTTGTTCACAGCAGGGAGAAGCTGACACACTTGGCCAATGCTGGGCTCACAGCACAGGGCCGGGTACATACAGAAGAGGGGCTAGTCTGTCACTGAACAAAGGGGTACCCAGAAAATCACGCACAGGCTGAAATTCTCAAAGGCAGAGACAAAGAGTCATGTGGTCTGGAAAAAACATGGAAGCTTGTAGCTCATGATTTATTGCTCCCTTCTTTGTGCCTCCTTTCCCAGAATGCCATCCTCCCAGGCAGGGCTGGGGGCCTAGGCATACTGGTGGGAGGGGTAGGTATTGTGCCCGTTGTACTCATCGGTGGTCAGGCAGCGCAGCATGAAGTGGCCCAGGTCATGTTTGGAGATGACCCTTGAGGGCCCTCGTCCATCCAGGGTCACTGTGTAGGCCCCAGTGAGTGGCTGATCCCCTGGGAAATGAGACAGAGGCGACAGGTGAAATGGTGTCCTTTCCCATCTCCCACCACATGAGCTCAGGGCACTTACCGGTGGACATAACAGCCAGGGAGCTGACACCCATGCATCAGTACTTCCTGCATCCTTTGATTCACTTGTCCCACAAATCCTCACTGGTCATTGCTAGAGTAGTAGTAGTTACCACACACACACCATGTACCCAGTCCTGGGGTCTGAATTCAAGGTCTTTGTACTGAGCTATATCTCCAGCCCTTTTAAGTTTTTATTCATTTTCATGGTAGTGATGCTTGAACCCAGGGCCCTCATACTAATATGCCCCTCAGCCCCTTTTTAATATTTATTTATTTATTTATTTATTTTTCAGAGAGTCTCACTATATACTTCAGGCTGGACTTGAATTCATTGTGTAGCCCAGACCAGCCTTAAACTCATGGTGATCCTCTGGAGTACTGGGATTATGGGCCTGCACTACCACAGCCAGCCCTTTTTTATTTTTTATTTTGAGAGGGGTCTTGCTAATTCACCTAAGCTGGGCACAAATTTGAAATCCTTTTACCTCACCCTATTAGGCTAGATTTCTCATGGTTGTTATCTCAAATGCCCCTTCCATCAGGGCCGGGTGTGAAGCACAAACCTGTAATCCTAGCGTTCTGGGAGGCTGAGGCAACAGGATTGTAAATTAAATCCAGGCAGCCTGGGGATTTATGGAGACCCTATTTCAAAATAAAAAAAAGTAAAAACAGAGCAGGGTGTGGTGGCACACACCCGTAATCCCAGCACGTGGGAGGCTGAAGCGGGAGGATCATTGTGAGTTCCAGGCTAGTCTGGGCTACAAAGTGAGCTCAAGGCTAGCCTGAACTGCATAGTAAGATCTTGTACACACACACACACACACACACACACACACACACACACACACGGAGGGCCAGCCAGATAGCTTAGCAGATTAAAGCACCTGCTGAGGCAGAGGTAGAGCTGGGGTTTGGTCCCCGGTGTGGCCCTGTTCCCAGGGGCACACTGAGATGACCATTGAGACTAGGTATGGTGGCGCACGCCTGTAATCCCAGCGCTTGGTAGGCTGAAAACAGGAGAATCACTACAAGTCCGTTCTGTGTAGTGAGATCCTGTAGACATTGTACTAAATATGTTTAAAAAAAAAAAAAAAAGGATTGGCAACATAGCTTAGTGAAAAGATCCTGGGTTCAATCCCTTGGATAGCCAAAAATAAGGGAAATGACCCCCCGAAAACCTCATCGTTGAAGCCATGGTTCCCAGTGAATGGGCTCTTTGAAGGATTCAATCATGAGGGTACCAACTTAGTGGAGGAATCCACTGGTGAGTTGTAACGGGATGGGCGTCTAGGAAGTGATGGAAGGAGATGGAGACGGAGGGAGTGGAGCCTAAGCAGCGAGTTTGCACTGTAGCTCCTGCCTGGTCCCTCC